TTGGTTTCGCAAACCTAAGGTTATTCAGTCGTATATTAGCATGCCCGCATTCACTTAAAAATCCGGTAGATTTGCGGCTTACACTCCACTTAAGTTGCATATGTTTTAGGGTTAACAGTTTCCAACCCAAAGGTGTAAACTTTATGAATGGTGTAAAAATGATGAATTAGTGTTTGTCTTTTAGTTTATCAAAAAAATAATATTACGTTCTTTTTTGGAAAATGAACTTATTCATTCACTTGCAAATAAGACTATCTCCAAAGGAGATGTCAAATTTTAAATCTAAAATTTAAATTTATCATTTTATGTGGCATTTTGACATATTTTCATGTTTTGCTCTCCGCCCTTCAAATTAAACTATTATTTTATTACATTATTTTTTTTTCTTAATTTCTGTCTTATACTTTAAATTTTACATATAAATAATTCATAATAAAAGTCATATTAATTAATACTAATACAAAGTCGTTGGAGGAGGACAATGAGAGGCGGCGATCGCAGGGGGAGAGCTGATGTGACTGGTTCCCATTTAGGGAGAAGGAGGTATTGGACGAGAATGCGATCCCGAATGTAAAGCTGTCGGACCTCTAAATAATCTTGGTGTCTGCACATGGGTTGTACACGTTGTTTGTGTTAGATGCTCCCACATTCACCACAATTAATGCCATCGGCAGGAGGAGCAGCAGCATCGCCACCGCCATTGTTGCCGGCAGTGATTGCATTTAGGGTGGTAGTAAGGTAACGGGATGGGTGATTTTGGTGGTGGTCGATGGGTGGTGGTCATTGAAGCTCAGAAGCCAAACCAACTCTACCGTTCAACAATCAAATAATAAATGACATTAAAATATTAATAAAAGACATTTAATAATTAGTAAAAAAAAATTGAAGCTACTGTCAAATTTAACAGCAAGCCCCTTTGCTACCATTACAAGTCATGCCACATAGGATTTGGCATTTTGATTGGAAACAATTAGTAGTTATCTTTTTTACTGTTATAGCTTATGTGCACAATTTGGCATTTCCTTTGGAGATGCTCTAAAGTATCTTTATTGTAGAAATTTCATAATCGAAACCTTTGAATTTCTTAATCTTCATTTAAAGATCATCTTATAAAAAATTATCTGAATTGGAGATCGGTTGGTCATCTAAAATGTATCAAATAAATCAGCGGTGTAGATACCAAGTAACATATCCATAACAAATCGCTAATTTAATTGATACAAATGGATGACCAAGCAATTTTCAATTCTAATGATTTTTTGTAAAAATAATCTTCAAATTAAGATTAAGAAATTAAACAGTTCTGATTACGAAATTATATGTGAAGATATATGTTGATGCACAAAATTGGGTGAACTTTGGAACAATGTAAGGTCTCAAGGTATGACCTTCGCAAGGTCGCTTTGGTCACCAAGTGAAAGTTATATGTAAAGAGATAGAGATAAGTTAACACAAGATGTATGTAGTTCACTCTGAGTTGGGCTACGTCCACAAGGGTAGAGGAGTTCTCATTAATAATGTAGAGTTTATATGATACAAAGATTTAAGCATAATCATTAATATTTGCGAGTTCTAAGAATAGATTAAAGTAGAATAGGATCATCAGGGAATAATTGTGGGAGAATGATTTCCTTTTATAGTTGAGGAGAGTCCTCTGTTTTCGTCCACGATCGATGTGGGAATCTATGAGCTTTATTCTGATGTTGACATGTGTTACGTTGTGATTGGTCTCTTGATTGGAGAGGAACTCATGTGCTTCGGTATGGGCGTCTTAGCACAAACCCTTTAGTAGGTCTTCGAATATTCTGAGTTGATTGGTACTCGATAATTCGGGATCTGTGAAGTATGTACAAACAATATATTATTTACAAGTAGGAGAATAAGCTTATTTTTATTAGGGAATACAAGTAACTATTCAAATACAAGTAAATAAATAAGGTTTTGGATAAGGGAGGGGTATAAAGTGGAAAATGATTTTCCCTGTGTAGTTGTGTGATGTCAATTCACTTATTATGACGTACAACATTTACATACTAGTTTGTACTTTCAGAGGGATTACCCTGAGAACTGATCCTGATTTTCATAGTACTCCCGGCCATAGATAGATAGCGTTAAGCGAAGGCTAGGCAGGCATTAGGCGAGAAACATAACTAGTAGAAAGAAAAGCAGCAGCAATTGAAACCGGAATTGAAATGGAGGACAAGTTATCCATCGTGGCAAAGAGTATTGCACCGTCACCAATTCAGGAACTGTCCCATCTCGCCCGGAGGTGCAACGCCATCAACCTCGCCGAAGGCTTCCCAGACTTCCCTGCACCTTCCCATATCAAACACGCTGCCATCTCTGCCATTCATTCCGACTTCAATCAGTACAGGTACACTCCCTCCTAGCTCACTGCTACACCCACGACTGCAGCTAGCTTAACAAGTTTTAGATAGATTTGATTGATGAATGATGATTTATTGTTAACATATAATTAGGCATGTGCAAGGAATATGTGACCACCTGGCAAACATAATGAAGCAGATGCATGGATTGGATGTCAACCCTCTTACTGATATGGCTATTTGCTGCGGCCAATCTGAGGCCCTTGCAGCGGCTGCCTTTGCAAGTATTTATACATGAGTTACTAACTGGATAACGCTTGAGTGCATGTGTGTATATAAAGAATTAATGTTTTGTTCTCCTTTATTTTTTGGACTCGCAGTAATAGACAAGGGCGATGAAGTTATTCTGTTTGACCCTTGCTATGAAACATATGAAGGATGTATTAAGATGGCTGGGGGAGTCTCAGTAAGCCTCTCTCTCTCTCTCTGATTCATTCTTCTTAGTAAATCAATATTTACCACCCTGCAGTACTCTGCTATGTAAATGATATCACTCTCCAAGTGTAGCCACTTGATCATCACTTTGTCATATATATGAATTGAGATTAGAGCTGCTGCCTTTGCTTGTCAAATGAATGAATGTCAATTATCAATTAGGATAGGCAGAATTTCTCCTTATTTTGTTCATTTCAATGGATGTGACAGGTATATGTGCCTCTTGACCCACCTCACTGGACCTTGGACCCTAACAGATTCATCAACGCTTTTAATGAGAGAACAAAAGCTCTCGTACTCAACAGGTTATAGCAAACTCAGGACCTATGGTCTCTATTGATTATAGAATAGAGGTTTACTTCCTCTGTTTGATCAATTGAATACGAAAACAATACTATAATTTATGGACCCTTTTATTGAAAATTATTAATCGAATGCTGGAAATATCCAGACGAATGGTCCCTAGCTAAACTCAAGTTATATCAAGAATTTCAAAATGGCTAATGTGTCCCTGCAGTAATTGGAGAATACTGTGGAACTCTGTATCCTGCAAGAAAAGATATCGTATTTCTCATATTATCATATTATGGTTTAGATATGTACTGATGTAAATTTTGCAGCCCTCACAATCCAACCGGCAAAGTTTTCACTAAAGATGAACTTGAGATTATTGCTGAAGAATGTCGCGCCAGGAATTGCCTAGCTATAACAGATGAAGTATGATATTCTTTCCCATATACTAATTAGAAGACTTAGGCAAAGTAAACTGCTTTAAATATTAATCAAATCCAATCAGGTATTTGCTATTGCTCCTTAGTTTGTACTTGTTTCTTTTGTTAGAAGTGAATATAAACTTTTCTTTTCTTGAATTAAACTGCTAAATGTGAGCCAACTACTTGTCTAATTGTTGAAATAAATTTCGGATTTTTTTTTCTTTGAATGTTATCTGCAGGTATATGAGCATATAACCTTCAACAATGCAAAGCATATATCCCTTGCCTCACTTCCAGGGATGAAAGAGCGGACTATTATTACGTCTTCCTTATCTAAAACGTTCAGTGTAACAGGTCATAGCTTACATGCATCTTTCCCAAAAGAGCTTTGATTCAATTCGTAATATAGGGCTGATTGTTCATTTGTGCTTCAAAATTACTAAGATTTCATGGTTTCGTTGTTGGAATCATGTCTATCGATCAGGTTGGAGGGTTGGATGGGCAATAGCTCCAGCTTTCATTGCCTCTGCAATCAGAAACATTCATGCTAAACTTACAGATTCTGCTCCAGCACCTTTCCAAGAAGCTGCCTTAATTGCATTGGGAAGCCCCCCCGAATACTTTGAATCCTTGAGAAGTGTAATGTCCAAATAGCCCAGATAATAGCTTTGTTTGTCTATGTGATGCAACTGGTGATGACTAATTCATCATTGGTGATATCTCTTTTATATATGCTCAGGATTATGAATCAAGGCGAGACTACATTGTCAATTTGCTTGCCAGGATCGGGTTTAAGATTCAATTCAAGCCTCAGGGTGCAGTCTTTTTATTTGCTGAACTACCTGAAAATTGCCAACTTTCTGATGTATGTTTACCTCCCTTTACTTTATTGGTCTTAGTTTTCAACAATTTGCACGAGGTTTAATATATTTTTCGGAATTACATGCATTTTTGTCCCCTCTTAATTAGGCTGCAATTGACAGTCTGTTTCTTATATGCGTAGCAAATGTAAGGTTTCATAACTTGTTTTAGTGATAAAAATGATGAAATTCATGCTTCCACAGGTAGATTATGTCAAAATGTTAATACAGCAAGCGGGGATAGTGGCTGTGCCAGGATGTGGATTTTTTCATGCAGATTTATCACTGGAGAAATTATCTCAGGAAGGTTACTGCTATCGGGGGAGATACATTAGGTTTGCATTCTGTAAAAGTGATCAGACTTTGGCTTCTGCTGCCAAAAAACTTGGACAGCTTTCGGATGCTGCAGGGTGTCTCAATCTAAGATAACTTGGCAGGAAGATTAACTCATATTTTTGTACTTTAAGTTGAGATTATATCGGAAGATAGAAGTTCATGAGAATAACGTAAGCTCGTCATATTAGATTGAATAAACGCACGAACTGTGCTTCCAATTTCACTTTTATTATTTAAAATATAAAATTGACAGAAAAAATATCCGATGAAATCACAAGAGAAAACTGCTCCTAAAACATCTCAGGGTATCCAAGGTGATGGAGGAGGTGGCGGGGGTGAAGGCAGGGGAGGAACTGCATAAAACATAGAGTTTTTGTCAACACCAGCAGGGTTTCCAGTGGACAGTGCCACAAGTGCAGCAACCAGACCTGCATTTCCTGCAAGGGTCGGCTCTGTGTAGTTATAATTGGAACGGACATCCTGGAAATTGTCGTGCTCATCAGGACCAGCAACCATGGCCCCAACAATTATATTTGGATTCGGTTTCTTACTGTCTCTCCATTTCAATCCCCCTTTACAGCCATACTTGATCTTATTTTTGGGAATGGATGCTCCTCTATGGTGGACCTGCTGTGGAAAACGCTCACCAAAGCCGACAATGTAGCTTATCCCCCGAGGATTTTTGCCAATAATGTAATCAATTTGGGTCCTGGCAAACCTGCGCAGTTCTTCAGTAGGGTAGAAATTGGATCCGCAATGCCATCCTGGTGCAGAAATAGCGTCAACATAGTCGCTGTATAACTGAGCTAAAAAAGCTGCATAGACTACATACTGAAGAGGCCTTGGCCTTCCATTGTTCAACTGAATCAGCCCTCCCTTTGTTCTGTTGAAGCTTGTGAATACGGGAAGGTAGGAACACATTGTTTCATCAATCTGACTGTGATATGTCCTCAACATCTCTTCATAAGGGTACCCGTAATTCAAGAACAATCTCAGCCGGCTTAGAAGCAAAAAAGCACCAGCATGCTTGTTGTCCCAGCTAAGTACCCTATTCTTGGGGTCAGTCCACAAAACTTTGCCATGAGCACCCAAGTCAGGGTTAGTGACAAGTTGGAGATAGGATAAGTTCCCCGTTGCAAGATACAACCAAGATCCACCCCACAGAAATTCATCCCAAAAACCAGTGGAATTGTAGATGGGGGAAGACGCGTCCGCACTACCCGTATACTTTGCACCTTGCCCTTTGTTAGCAAATTTGAAGAGTAAATCAGCACCATGAACAAGTTTCTTAGAGTAATTTGTATTGTCTTTGAAAACAATGGATGCAGAAGCTAAAGCAGAAGCCATTTCTGCGGCAAGGGCCGGGCAGTTATAACACTCTTGTCCAGTTCTTGGATGGTCAATATCCTCAGGACGTATCCAACAGTTGCGAGTTTTCTCCTGATCACCACCACCGGAGGAGTCAGTGTCATCACCCCCTCTAACATCTGCAACCACATTGAAAATGGAATCAGCTGCAGAGGAATTGAAGGTATTGAGAAGGTAATCTGTACCCCACTTGATGATGCCCTTCACATGGTCTAGTTCTCCTAGTGCCGCATATTTTGCACTGTATTCGATCACGCTCCAACTCAACATGGTAATGGCAAAAGATGCGGGGAAGCTGAACTTGCTGGCGTCTCCACCGTCATAATATCCGCCAATCAGATTTTTGGTGTTAGAGTTGCCATCACTCAAGCAGGAATCACCTCTCCATGAAACATTGTTGTACTTTGGTAGTTTTCCAGCTGCACAAAAAGAAACGTTCAGGTTAGATCGATTGTTTACGTAATACATGTTTCCCTGGGAAGGTTTTGATTAAACAGTCATCAACTCATCATTGTATTTTCCTTTTCATATGTAACATGTTGATGAGGGTGACATGACAATGTATGGAGGATTTTCGTCTGCGAATTGAAAGGTGATGACTGTCCAAGCAGATATTTCTTTTGGCGTGTTTGTAATACGTGACTATATGACGGTCACACCCAAAGTTTTTTTGGTCTAAGTGGCGGGAAATCATATAGGAAACGTGCTATTGCTCGCTATTAGATTTGGACTCTCCTTGAAACTGGACCTAATTAATCAATCAGTTCTATCCCTTCTTTTGGGCAAAATAATGTGTGAGAGATTATACAGTATTCAGAGGGGAGAAATGAAATGAAATAAATAAAAATTACAGTGGAGAACTGGAGTGTAATGAGATGGCTGATATTGATACATACATCGTTGGGCATTGAAAAAGAAGAGGGCTTGGTGAAGGGCGGTGGTGTAGTTGTCAGGCACAGACGGGTGGACATGATGACGGCTCCGTTGGGCAAGCTTTACTATGAGAGTGATTAAGGCCGCCAAAATGCCAACCACCACCACACTCCTTACTGTGACGCTGTATTTTGCACAACAAATCTTCCTCATCGACGTAAACATCGTCCTCTTCTTTTTCTCGTCAATACTCCTCTCATCGTCTTTATTTTCTGGCTTCAGCAGCCACCCTTGCTTCACCTTGTCCGATGGCGGTGCCCCTGTCCCTGCCCCATCCTCCGCCTCTATCTCCAGCGGACCACCACCACCGTGCCGTATATCATCTCTTTTCATCCTCTCCTGTGTGTCTCTGATCGTTCTCTCTCAAGGGAGCTTCACCTTGAGAAACAGAAACAGAAAGACAGATAGCTGTCTTTGCCTCTGGGCTGCAAATTAATCGCTCTGTGCTATTAAGGCAGGCAGGCAGCCACTCCCGAAAATGCTTTCTAAGTGCCACCTCACTGCATTCCACTTGTCGAAAACAATCCCCTCCTTCTTTACTCTCTGCTGGCAAAGCGCTTCATATATTAATATTATGCACAAAGAAAAATGAAGGAAATTCTAATAAATTAATAATCCATTCATCCTACTCAAACACGTTTGTGACTGTTTATTCGGTCATTTAACAAAATAGCTAAGACATTTCCACTTATTATTATTATTATAAAAATTGCTAAAATAATAATTGGTCCTGAGTGTGTATATATATATAACACCTATGGGAACTTTCTGCACACACGCAAACAAATTAGGTTTTCTTTTACCAAAAGAAAAAATGTAAATTGTTTTAATGAGGAAATTATATGTCCTAATCTTCGTAAGCAAGCGTGAGTTGTCAAAAGTCTAATCTTTTTCAAAAAAAATTCAGAATAAATAGGGGTTTTTTTTTTTCCTCATAACTTTAGTTGGAGTGAATTATGGAAATTTAAGAATTCAACTGATATTATGGAATACATCGAATCCGTTTCCATATGTAATTGCAAATTGGTTAACCTTCGGAACCAAGATTGGCTATTAATTAAGCCCGCTTGTTGGAAATACAATATAGGGAAAAACAGAGAATAAAGAGTATTTCTAAAGAAATGCAAGAAAAGGAGCGGGACAACCTGAGAAGGAAATGAGACAGATAAAGAAAAGAAAATTATAGAAGATTAGATGAATTAGAATATTAATTAAGAGTAATATTAATTATGGAAACTTTAAACATAAAAATATGGTAAATATTATATTTAAGGTTTACCATGTGGATAATTTTGAGTGCATGGTAGTGCCAATCCGCATCGTCTAGTGGCAAGTCAAGCCTCACACAAGTTTTTCTCGAGGGGGCAGGGGTGGACTAAATCTCATAATTGGTTAGTAATAAAGTGGTTCAAATTCGTCTTTGGCGAGAATTGAACATAAGTCATCTCATTTACTAGTGAAGAGGAATATCACTAGACCGTAGTACTAAGTAGCTCTATTATTTTTTGAGGAACTTTAACGAAAAACTCCCGGTACTATTCACTTTAATGAAAAACCACATTTTTACACTAAAAAGTCAATCCATATACTATTCACTTTACCCTTTATTTTGTCCTTATCGTTAAAACTCAAAATTTTCAAGCGCTTTTCATTAGTTTTCTTTTATTTTTATTAGATAGCCCATTTTAGTGGTGGATTCAAAAAAAATTGTTTTGGTGGGGGTTGCATGTAAAAATTCACAAGTAATTCTTCGACAATAAATAGCCGTAAAAATTAAATCATAACTCCATCATTCATAATTCATGAAATTAAAAAAATTACAAACTACGGGGGGTGTATTCAATTAAGAATTTGAGAGACTTTAATGGATTTATAAATCTATGGATTTTTATGGAGTTTAATTGATTTGTAGAGATTTCATATAAAATTTTGATTCAATTCCCTCGAAATCTCATGGGGAGAGGTGAGATTTGTGGATGCTTAAAATACACTACGAAATCTCTACAATTCCCTCTAATTCCTCAACTTTCTCAAATTTTTTAAAATCAATTTTTAATTGAATACACCATGATTGTTATAAACTTCTTTAAAATTCTAATTGAATACACCCGGATTTTTAAAGATTTTAATAAACTATCTTAAAATTCTAATTGAATACACCTTGAATTTCAGGGAATCACTTAAAATCCTGATTGAATACCCCTATATTCATTAAAAGAAATAAAATCCCTCAAAATCCCAATTGAATACACCCCCCTACAATTATCCATTATAAGTGACATTGTTCATGACACGGTTTCATCTTTTGAAAATATCGTATTATAGCTTTATTATTATTTAAATTTACCATTATCAAGGAGAGATGAGAGAATTTGAAACTGTTACAATAACTTCATTATGAATACAAGGAAAATTGAAATTTTAAAGATCTGAAATTGGGTCGGGATTTGGTAGAAATTAGGATTTTAAAGATTTGAGTGTATATATGTCTAGATTAGAAGCTTAAGTTCTTTTTTACCTTTTCTCTGTGGCTAGGACCTTTTTTTTTAGATATAATAAAATGACTTGGTTTTGCTACGTCCAAAACACATAAATCAGCAGCAAAGAAGATACGTGATGCAACCTTCACCATCGCTACCCTACCCATTCATTGTTGTAGTTCATCGAGCAGTTGGAGGCATATCTCAAGGGAAACTCTAAGCATCAAAGGGGCAGCACTTAGGTCTTCCATGGAGATTTGCCAAAGTTAGGAAGATCAGCTAACTCCTCATGTCCCTTAGTAGATCCGACCCTGACCTATTTATAGGCTTTAGGATTTATACGAAAAATTATCAAGATATTACATATTGACTGAACAACCACATAATAAATATAATATACAATACTCCTCCTTGGATATCAACCCACTTTGCGGACTAAATTGGACTTCTTCAGACTTAATTAGACAGTTATGTCGTTAGAAAGCTACTGATGTCAGCTTTCCACAACACTTTACGGCTTATACTTTCATTCCCTTATGAAGAAAATATCGATGTTTTACTACAAACAATGCAAGCAGAGATTTTTTTTCACGGATTTGCATAGTCCACTTTTTCAGGATTGAACTCCGACTAGGGAAACAATTTGAAGGCTCATCCATTGGGTGAAAAACCTTGGAATAACCCATGGTAGTGCTCCAAGAGATAAGTGCCTTTGATTATTTAATTGTATACATGATTAAATACAAAATTTTACATGCTTTTAAGATTCACAAACAAAGATTGGGGCATGGAATCATAACAAGCCACGCGCATGAGCTACACTCCGACTTGAGTTAGCCCCAATCATGTGTGGCTCCAACCTTATAAGCCTCGAACTGATTCAAATATAATTCGATCAATTAATGTACACTAAGTCAACTTGGTCAAAGAAATAACATCCTATGTAATGACTCAAGCACTTAGCAAGGGCCAGCATCGGGAACTGCATATTTAGGACAAAAACCCTCAAGCTGAGAATGATCTTTTTTAAATCGTTGCTACTGATCGCAAAGGAATGTGCAACCTTGCTATCTTCACCCTAAACTCACATTTTTTGCTTTCAAGAATGTGGATGTTTTGTTCATCACATGACTTTGTTCTTTCTCGCATCACTTTTTTGCAATATAGGGAATACCCCAATATCCCATAATATCACACTGTTTTTATGACTATGCAAAAGTGCAAGTCTAAAACAAATTCAAAGTAATTGTGTTAGATGAGTCTCTTGCAATAAAGCCTATTCTGTGGTGTTTCAATTAACAGTTTGGGAAACTCGAGTCATATATAAGCATGATTATGTTAGGCAGACTACAGACATTGGGACATGGCCCCATTGTCTGGAAGCTTTCAATGTACCATCCAGCTTCCAAAATGTTTAAACAACCTAAGGGTTGTGGGTTACCTACTCAAATCCAGGCTCTGGCCATTCGAGGGAATAATCGAAAAGGGTGAACCGAAAATCATCGGAGTAGTGCCTTTGAACTTTGACCGTAGAGTACAATTAATTATATCCCGGACTAGCGTACTAAGTCAAGTACGTCTTACATTGATCTCATGCCTAAAGTAAAACTGAATAAGGCATCCACACTAGGAATCCTCAATGAAATTTTATTTTAGTGGAACTGTGATTCTCGAAAGTAGCTTAGCAAAGCCAGCTAAGTGTAAACCAATCAGAAATGCTCAAGTCTAATGCATATAAGGTATGTCAAAATGATCGTAAGGTTTTTTCGATTCCACATGCAAGCAACCAAGTCACTAACAAACTTTTCATTTAGGGTTCTCTAGGAACAAAAATGCAATTCGAACTGTGAAGGAAGACCTTTCTTGGTTACATGTTGCGTTATTAAAATCTTCATACCTAAAATGGTGCAAGGTGAAATGAACAAACAAAATCAAAGTCATGCTCGATTTCTCATACAACATTTAGATTAATCTTTTGCAAGTGTTATCAATCATTATCGCCTGGCCAACAAGGCTATTGAAACATGTCAGACTGGCATTATGATGTAGAGATAATTCTGGACAAGATCCTTCACTTTCACATCCTTAATTCGATCAATACATCAAAAAAAGTTTCGAAGCAAGAGACATTTCATAGGACTTAGACCTGGTGTCGGAGTAAGATGGTATTCTGATTATCGCAGTGGAAATCTTTATAAACATTAAGTTTATGAGATAACATTTTTCTGCAATGTTATCAAGGGGACCAAAGCTCACATAAGCTTGCAAACTTATTCATACTTGACTTTGCTGCTTATTAACTCCGAGTTGGTTTAGAACTCCAAAAAAATTGTCGAATAAAACTATATTTCGGAAAAATGATGAAAAGTTCTAAGTATTTTACTCTAACATGATTAAAGACTTGAGTGAAATAAACTTAGCAAAATATCTCCTAAGGCATCTAAGTTCTTTCAAAGATAAAATAAAATAGGCACATTCCGCCATGCATCCAACCTTTTAGCTATACACTCGAAACTCTGATCAGAGGTTTACAATATGGTTTGGAACTATTAAAGATCAGATCTTTGAGAGACAAGCATGACTAGCCAGACTTGGCTAGCTTCGAATCAAACAAGCAAGTTGAAGGTCATTTCGATACACATTCTGGAAAAGTAATTCTAGAATGATTCACTTCTGGTTTGTTTGTAACAATCCATCCTCAAGCGGAGTGCATTCTCAGAATCATAGTTAGGGGCAATTATGAGACTATGATTTTTGGGCCCATGACACGTGGCACTCATGGGGTTAGAATGACTGAAAAGTCGTTAGAGTGATACTAGAGCTACATGGGTATTCCAGATCGGATTGTCAGAAACCAAGGTAGTCCCACAGGCCAAGAAGGCTGATTCATATACAACTGATATAGTTTCCAACTCTTTTGAGCAACCAAAAATATTTAGTAGCTAGCAAGCGGGGGTGCCAAAATTGACAATGGATAAAAAATTATCGTAGTCCAACACGAATTTGCTGGCTGCCTGGTACACGGCCCTGCAGCAAAGCTGCAGGCCTTAGATTGGGCTCAGGGGCAGGCTGCAAAGATGCCCCAACTCTTCCATGCAAGTTGCAGGCTAGAGGGAAAAGCAACCCAATAAGCAGCATACTCGCTCGGGGATGGGCCGAGGCATGGGAGAACAAGCCTAGCAGCGCAGAAAAACTGTTGGAGGCGCAAGCTGAGGGCAAGCAGAAGCCCAACAAAAGCTGGCTTCTAAAAACGGGCTGAGAGCGTGAAGCCCATTACCGAGAAACTCAGGCATTAGGCCTAGTCTAGTTCGAGCAACAAGCCCAGATGGCTGTTGATGAAAGGCTGGCGTTAGAATGACGTTATCCTGGTCGCTAACCCAAGTTGCAGGCTTGGCATGGCGTAGGCTCGGTGCGACTTGGATGCAAGTCAGCCAGGCATAGCTTGTCGTTGGCTCGGCGTAACACCAGGGCGCGGCTCGACCGTGAATTTTCTATTTTTTGCGGCTCGACCGTGAATTTTCTATTTTTTTTTTTCGAATTTAGGGTTTTGAAAAATCCAAAATTGCTTTTATTTTCTTTCATTTCATTCACTCACAAATTCCGCATAGAAAATTTATTATTGTGTTATGCATGAACTATATATTTTGACAAATATATGAAATACACAATATATATATATATATATATGAAGGTAATTATAAATTTAGGAGGTTCATGCATCATATGGAATGTTTTCATGCATCATGATACTTGAAAATATCAAACTTGGATTTTATAAAACCTGATTGGCAGAAAACAAATTGAGCATTTGAATTTGTAGGCGATCTGTCTCCATAACCAACGATTTCGTCTCCAATACGTTGTATCACGTTCAACATAGAAAAATTAAATTGAATCAATAGCATGTAGTTCAATTTAATAAAATAATAAGTTAATCATAAAAGTTGTATGACCTATTTATTGTAGAGAGGTGCGGCATAGTATAGAGAGAATTGGGTGCATTTTGAGGCGTGTTTTCTCACTCCATTGTTGCCTTTATTTATAGTAGTAGGGAATGTAAATTTTTACCCCAATAAAATTACAACTCTAATAGGATAATATCTAAAGTATAAGATATGGTAGAATCTCATAAGGATATCCCAAGATATAATAGAATTTACACGATCACATTTCTAAATTATAAGCCAACAACAAATTTAAATAAATATCTCATTCCTATAGGAGTTGATATTAAATTGGCGGTGTCGTTGCCTGACTTCGGGTTGTATTATTACTCGTTTAAAATTCAGATGAGCTATATGATGGTTGCATGCCTAATAAGGTGATAATGAAATTAGTGACTAAAATTTCATGACCTTGTTCCCTCCTTGAAAATAACCCATATTAACCGTACAAATATGGTAAGTGTAGTATTTCTCTATTAAAATATTTAGAAATTATGCATCTGATTTTTTATCTTAGTTTACTTTTCCTAAAATATTATCATTGCATACTTACTTATATGAGCTTTATAGTTAGTGAGGCTTCCTTTATAGTCAGTGAGGGGAAGCCAGCAATGCAATGGCACAGGGCCTTCAAATTCAAGAAGGCCCCTAAATATGTTTATGATACTTTCTTTCTCCATTGCAATTTGATTAATTTGATGCTTGGACAAATGTTATCATTGTTTTTTTAACAAAATTTTTGTTGTGTTAATTTCTGAAGATTTAAAAACTTTTGAAATCGATACTACCATAACTAACAAATATAGTACTCTTTGACTCTCTTTAGCCTAGGCTGGTCTTTTAAATTTTCAGAAAGGAATTTCATGCAAGGCTGCTTTCTAGTTGAGTGCATTTTTGCTCACCACCATTAGTGTGATGTATACTCATCGCCTTATTTATCATCATTAAATGAGTTTGAATTTCGAGATTTGTGTCTATCTACTACACGAATCTCAAAATTCAAACTTATCTAACGGTGATAAATAAGGTGGTGAGTAAAAATACTCCTTTTTTAGTTATAGAATTTTTTATCATTTCATCATTTGATAAATTATACATCTTTTGTAAAATAATGTTAATAATAGTCTCTTTTGTCGTACTACAAGAATATAAAGACCTCCTTAGTTATTTTCGTGCTGGACTGGACCCTCAAAATTTTAAAGATGGCCCTGTTATGGCTTATGGGGTTTTATCACGAATCCAGTACATCATTCAATGTAGGAGTTTAACTTTTGGAGGTTATTAGAGCTGGTTTGATATTGTTGTGCTTTGAAAAAAAACTGATTCTGATGTGCTGTAAAAATAAGTGGCTGTGAAATAAAGCTGTAGAGTGTTTGGTAAACTTTTTTGTAAAAATGCTTTTGAAAAAAAAAAAGCAGTATTATAGTGTTTGGTAAACTTTTATGTAAAATAGATGTGAAAAAAAAAACCGGTTTTTTAAAGCTGGTTTTGCAGCTTCTTGTTTTTTGGCTTTTTTTCACCCAAAACTGTGAAAAAAAACTGAAACTGAATGTTTACCAAACACAAAAAAGCTCCCAGCTTTTTTTGATACCAGCTTTTTTCAGAATCACCTCAGTACCAAACCAGGCCTAACTCTCTCTTGGTACGCAGAAGAGTTAACGAGTATATCAATATTTTTTTTACTACAAAAATATATTTTACACTAAAGAGAGAGAGGGAATTCGGCTAAGCCACGTCATGAACAACATAATTTGGTATCAAATTCGTCATCTACGAGATTTGAACCTAAGACCTCACATTTACAAGTGAAGATGAATATCACCAAACATGTAGTACTGAGTGGCATCAGTATATCAATATTGAACTAAGTGCTAGAACGTTAGGGTTAGTGATTCTACTCACGTGAGGAACTTAATTATCTAGTTTGTGTAAGCAAATAAATTATGTATTTCTAGGCGTGGACTCCAGTTGAACGGAAATAACGAACGCCTATATAAGCATAAAATTTACAAAAGATGTATTAATTTGATAAAGCAGCATAGATTGATATATGGTTCAAACATTTATTTACTTTATTAAATCAGGTAGTACATATGCAGCTAGCTAGCTAGGTACGTTTCCCATGTGTATATATATTTAATTAAGGAACCCAAGTTAGCCGGCGTGAATGCGTGCAAACAGCAAAACGCAAGTGAAGGCAGTGCCAGGTGCATGTTAGCTTTGCAATTAGTTGTATTTTAAGCAGCAGCCATGTTATATACGACCCAAATTGAAGCGACACACATGCATGCATGTAGTACTAGGTACATTGATGGATCGTCGATCTTAACCAATTGACCTGTTCTTCATGTCGTTGTAGCGACGATCGATGGAATCCAAGCGCTGAAGCCTCATCTGTTGATAGAACTGAGCTATAAACTCTTCAGCCTTGGCGTCAATATTTTGGTCATGAGTGGCATCACCAGGACAGGCAGCGATGGCATTGGTGTCGTCATCTTCCGTCCGGTCCAGCTCTTGGAGACTGACAGCAGAGGCGTATCGGCTGGACATTCCATCTTCGGAGGAGAGGTCGTCAGTCCGCGCCGGAGATATGGGTGGTAGGAGCACGTCTTCGTATCGTTCAATTGAAGAAGTACGTTCATGCGTGCTCCTAGCGGAGGAGGCCGACGGCGTCGATGGGTTACTGCTGCCGCTTTGGAGGTGCAAGGGACGGATGGACCCTACGAGGCGCTTCCACGTGCTTTTTGAAGAAGCCACTGCTTCTGCTTCGATGGAGGCCGGAATTGATTTGGATTTGAATTTGTCAGATGAACGGCGTCGTCGGAGCATAAAGGCGGCCACCTGGAGAATTTGTATAGCTCCTCTGCGCTTCTTTTTGTAATTATTACCGGCTGGTGCTGGTGCTGGTGCTGGTGCTGCGGCTGTGATGGCGCCCACATAACCATGATGATCCTGCCCATGATCTCTATCTCCATCGGATTTAGAATTAATATCGATAACATCGCCATTAGGAATAATAGGACCCGGACCCTTGTTGGTGGTGTCGGCAATGATGATCACGCTGTCTAACTTGGGTTCCATCAATAATTAATAAGCTATGGTTAATTATGGGGCCGGGCCTAGACCTAGTTACGTGACGGCTGACTGTCGATGTCGTCTTATTCTTCTTCTTCTTCCCGCGCTTCCTCTCTGTTATCGATCCCCTCCCCTGCGGCGAGCAGGGTGAGATGCGGGAGAAAACTTTGGAGGGAGTGTTGGAAAGCAACCACCTTATATACCAAATTAACTTCCGCTATCGATGCATCCTCCCTTTCTCTCTCACTATATATATGACCGTGATCCACCGCGACCTGTCTGTACCTCTACTTGTTTTCTTGTTTTTCGTTCCAACAAATATTAGGTTATATTTAGCCACTTCTCTAGCTACCGTCAATTTCTTTCATCCATTCATTTCATTCGTCATATATGTCTTTTTCTCTGCCAATTAATTACGCTTTAGCTAATTGCTAGCCATGTACGTTTACCCAATGGAATATCACTCATTACTCCGTATCCCATATCTACTCATAACTAATTAAAACTATATGCAGTGGCGGATCCATGATTCGAACTTTGGGAGTCTCATTGTTAAAAGTCCAAGTTTTTTTTGTAGAAATAGAGCGCGAAACACGTAAAAAAATTTAGTTTATTTACAGAGATATTTTGTCGAATATTTGGTGGGCATGTTGTCGTTAGCTGAACCAGGTTGCTTACATGTCAACGATATTGACATATGCTGAAGCAATATGATGAGTTCTATTGAGAGAATTTGTTGAGGCAACCTAAAAAGATGTTTTTTTTTTGTCAAGACCTGGAAAGATATTTTGTCAAATACTAGGTGAAGCTTTCCAAAATATCAAAAATGCCCCTTTGTTTTTTCACAACCAAAACCCAAAAAATTCAAAAAAGGAGGATAAACTGGTAAAAAAATCTTAACATAAAACGTGTTGGAAAACAAAATAAATTTAAAAAGAAAAAGAAAAAAAGAGACAGTGATGAATTGGGGGTGTATTCAATTGAGATTTTGAGGGATTTTAATTCTTTTAATAAATCTAAGGGTATTCAATCAGAATTTTAAGTGATTCTCTGAAATTCAATGTGTATTCAATCAGGATTTTAAGATAGTTTATTAAAATCCTTAGAAATCCCGGTGTATTTAATTATAATTTTAAAGAAGTTTGTAATATTTCAGGTGTATTCAATTAGAATTAGAATTTAAAGAATTTGGAAAAGTAGAGGATTTAGAAGGGGTCACCACGTTCCGTTCAGTTTTGCAACTGCTATCAACAGTTTCCGTTCGGTTTTCAGACTCCCACATTCCAACCTTTTATCATCACTTTCTCCGCTGCATGAGTTCATTTCGATTTGTGAATACAGAAAAGAAAAACCAACAATTTTAAGCGATTAATTGCAGTTTAATTTGCATTCATATTTATGTTTTTTTTTTTCCTTTTAGTTTGCCTTTGATTTTCTTTGACATGGAAGAAGAAATCATGTAACGAAGGGGGTTCTTATTTGTTGAAACTTGGAATGAGCATGAAGAAATTAACGATACTTCTTTATCTTTTGAGCTGGACATGTAAGTATGTTTAATTTTTTTTATTATTATTTCGATGCCTGGAGGATGAAGGGCAATAAACCCAGGAGAGTTGAATCAGACTATCAAATTTTTTATGGTAAATGTGATTTTAATCCTTGCTTAAGATTATAGTTAGAAAAATGTCTTATGCAAGATTAAATATTGATTATAGTCCTTTGACTATACATCCATGTCAATATGTCAGCTTTTATTTTTTTGGTGGTTTTATTAATTCTATTTTTCCAACATTGCCCATATGTGATTATGGACAATAACAAATTTTAAATGCTGAGTTATGAGTGTGCAATTATTACTTAATATATTTTCATTTTTTGTCCATTTTAAACACAAAAGTTCAATTGTATGAATCTTTCATCGTCCTCTTCTATGGTGTTGTGCAGATTCGTTTCTTTGTCTAGAAAGTTTAGCATTTTCACTAAAATCGTGTACATGGGTTTTTGTTAGGATTTTTTGTTTGTTTGTGGATACTTGATATATTAGTTCAATATTTGTATATGATCTGCATATGTGTACTGTGTGGATGCAAATTTCTTCCTCCTTGATCCTGGACAATTTTGCACCTACAAAACAATTAACACCTTAGGTTAAGGCCAAGAGCCTCACGCACCCACGATAAATTGGGGGGGCTTTGGCCGAAGAACCTCCGATGCCAAAGTTAAAATTTAGAGAGAAAGAGTGTTTAGAGAATTTTGGGATTTTTGCCAAAGTGTTTGAATTGGCTTTTTTGGTGAGAATGAGAGTATATTTATAGGGATAGGAGGTGGCTAGGGTTTTTTGGGTTTAATTTAGGTTTAATTAGGAGTTACAAAATTGATTATTTGTATAAATGGGGTAATAAAATGGAGAAAGGTGAAAAAGGTTAGGAAAAGGGGGGTGGCCGGCCTCTTAGTAGTTTTTAGGTGTGGATGGGTGTTTTTAATTGATAATTAAGGGATTGATTAGGTAATTAATCCCTTAATTAATCAATTTTTAGGGAATATGAAAGGAAAATATCATTTAGCTAATTGATTAGCTAAATAATGGAATACAAAATATATAGAATAAATTAGGTTTTAGGAATTACCTTATAGAAAGGATTTGATGAAATAGGCTTTAAATTGTTACCTATTGTGGGCACTTTTGACTTTGTTTAGGGATGATTGCCCGCTGCTCGCGCGTAAGAAATCCCAGTATGCCTCAAGGGTATTTTTTGTCCTCTTTTTACCCAAGAATCCACGTGTCGCTTTGTGATTAATTTTTTGCTCCACATACTGCACATGGTTTCAAATAGTTCTCATGCCATTCGCTCCTCTATATTTTGGCGCACTTTAGAAATGAGGTACACTAATCCAACATAGGTACCATGGTTGAGGTACATTAAAATTCTAATAATGTTTTTTTTAATTTGCAGGTACTTTGTATTAGGTACCATGATATAGGTACCATGCTATAGATACTGTGGTATAGGTACCATGGTTTAGGTACATTATTTACTTATTTGGTATGATGTATTCAATAAAATTTGATTTCTAGAGTTTTGTTTCATTGTGATATGAAATTTTTTGAATTCTAATCAATAATTTCGTTTTCTTATTTGGTATGTAACTGAATTTCTTATTTTATAGGAGGAAATGAAGCCCTCAAATCAAATATTAATTGTGGGGGTATTTTAGGAACTAAAATACACATAAAAACATTAAATCCAATGAAATATGAGTTTTAATGTTAATTCTGAGGTGAACATCCAGTCAAGGGACTAATTTAAATTTTTTATCTTGTACCAGGTTTTTATGAAAAGTTGATTTATGCCAAGGATTAAACTCCACTTACCCCAATTTTTTAAAGCTACAAGTGTGGTAAAGTCAAGGTTTCTCAAGTGGAATTCGACAAAAGCTTTGCCGTGGAGAAGTAATATGGACTTTTATGCTTTATTATTTGGTAGGCTTCAGATTGTTGTACTGCATAATATCAGTTTACTATCTACAATTAGATTTATTGAGTCTGTGGTTCATTTTCTAAGGATCTTTATATCAGTAAACACTGTGCCTTCAAACATCCGTACTTTTGATACAATAGCTTTTTTTTAATACTGTAATTTTGCACTTTAGTCAAACATTGTATTTGTAGAAAATACTACTAAAAAGTATTGAAATTCACGGCAAAGCCCAGACTTGCAGTAATATGACATATTAGCATATAGCTGCTCAATTTGTATCTCACTTCATCGTTCTCTCTACACATCTTTCACAAACCACCATTTCAGAATAAATAGAACTTCAATCTCCTCAATCTGAAATTTTAAGTAATCTTTGGAGTTTTCCTGTTGCTTTGGGTTGTTTATCGATATTAGAGGAAATTGTAGAAATAGTCCATCAACTTTAACTCAATTGGAGTAATGGTCCCTCAACTTTATTTCCATGACTATTGGTCCCTCAACTCGTCAAAATATGTAGCTATGGTCCTTTTTCTTAACACCATCAATAACTCAGTTAAATTCAGTCATGTGCGTGGCACATGACACTGACTATAAGGGTAATTTAGGAAACAAATTATTTCCCAGATAAAAGCATCCTCATGACCGGGTTGCATTCGATGCCCATCCCCAGGTTGAATTCAATATTCATCCCTAGGTTGAAGTTGATACCCATAGCTGTCTGCAATATTACCCAGTCTTAATCATGATAATTGATGTTAACTTATGACAACATGGTAGAAGGTAGTGGACAATTGGTAAAAAAAGGATCGTTGTCTTTGGACTCAAAAAGCTGTGTGTACCGTATACAAACTTAAGAACTGCAGGTTCTGCATATTTGACAAGAAGGTTGTTTCACGTCAACTTTGCATACCCAGAAAGACTTGGGTTGCATATATTTATAGCCAATATACATATTAAATCATCTATTCCAGGCCTCCATGGTCTATCCACATCAAAAAACAAGCATCAACATCATCTATTTCAAAACCACCATGGTCTTCACATCCTCCATCAGCAAACAAGTGGTAACATCAACTAATCGAGGCCTCCTTGGTCCATAAACAAACAAGCAGCAATATTATTTATTTCAAAGCCTGCATGGTCTTGCTTGGTTCCCCATCCCTTTGTATCCACCCCTTCTCACCTAAATCAAAGAATTGATTCAGTAAATCAAATCCAATTGGCATATAATGTATGAGAAAATAATCAAAGATAAACTTACAGGTTGTTTTCCCTTTCCTTGTTGCCCTGCTTGAGAACTGACATGTTGCTTTTTCTTTCCTTGAAAGTTAATTGGAGCTCGTGTTTCGGTGTTCCCTTGAGACATTTGTGTCCCTGAAGTTTGAGAGTTTGCTTGGGCATTTTGAGTTGTTGCTTGAGTGTTTACTTGTTGAGTCTCCTGCATTAACCCAAGAATGAATTAAACTGCAATTCACTTGCTAGTTTGGTTTTTTAGGATTTACTAAAGCATAAATATGTACCTGATTCTTATTTGTTGCATTCGTGTGTTGTGATTTTCCACATCCTACTTTATTGTGCCCCAACTTTCCGCATTTACCGCAAGCTATCTCTACAAACCATTTTCTAAGTCTCTGAGGTTGCGGTGTGTCATTGTGCTCACCCAATAAATTAGTTGGTGGTGGAGGATAGTGTGCTTGT